TAGCACATTTTGTGATATAACGAGGGCTTCTCTGACTACCGTTGTAGCGTTTGGTACCGCATTATCTTTCCTCATTCCCAGCATCATTATCGTCGTCTTGGTCGTCTTATGAGTCATCGGAAGCGTATCTTTGATGGAGGCGGAGATAACTATGCTCAAAGTTAAAAAGGTGTTACTCAATCTCGGCTCTGCAGACTCTACAGTGAGAGCTGGAGGTTCGTAGGGGACACCACTGGCAGGTGTTGAGCAGGTGCCAGTGTAATCGCTCAGTATGCTCTTATTCGACTTTAGTTATCTATATATTCAGACATATGATGAATATGGTGTTGGAAATATCGCGCAATATTCATGGAACGAAAGTAGAAGTTGACTAAAAGAGTATCATGTTCGGATTACTGCTAAAAGTGTGGGAGATGTGCACTACAAGTACAAGTGTAAGCGACACAGAGCCTAAGCCACAGCATAAACGAGTGTGGCGCCATCTAGGCATAGAAAACCCCCAATAACCTCCTTACGCCCACGCCATACAGCCGCTCATATGTCCAATAGGTAGCCTGAAGCGCTACCATATAACCTACTCCAACCTCTTAAATACATCGTGTCGGGAACCTAGACGAAATGGAGGGCCCACACGTCCACAACACTCCATGTCTCCATGTCTCCATTTCCAACATATGGTCTGTTTGTAGATTATGATGTGGCTGCGGTTGCAGCCGGATGTAAATAATGTAAAGGTCTTTATCAAGTATCTTTAATATATATATTTATTATGGAAATACCCTCCCGTGAAGTCTTCTCTAATATGTACATGTAAATGCCTTCTTTTATAGATATTCCCAAGGTCAAAGATAGAGCACCTATATCCCTTGAGATATATGTTCAATACAGAGTTGTGACCTGCCTCCGATATTATGCGCAAGTTCGAAACTACGTTCTACCATGTCCGTCAGTTCTGTGTTAAGTTATTCAGCCTTCATTTCCGTGCAAATATCCTAAAGTGTAATTTGCCCGTAGATGTATGATCAGCGGCGGAAACCAGCAGTCTAACAAACACAGTTTAGACACCATGGGAATAGAGTCTAACTCTAACAACTCTGCATATTTGGGATAGCCAAGAAGAATCGCATCCGAATCAAAGTCGAAAGCAACTTCAAGCAAATCTCCACATGACGACTTCTCAGTCATGCAGTACTCACTATTATCGTCTGAGTCCTCAACCTCTTCTAACCACACATCATCTCGTCTCAACGACCGATAAAAGCGTCACCCCAATTGTAAACAGGGGCTTGACCCATCAATTTTCGACCATCTCCCACTACAAATTTGCCACGCTATTTCTACCCGCAAGGAGGAAATTAAGTCGAAAATTACAAAGCCTGGGTCTTGGCTTATGGGGGACTGTTGCTCTAATGGGATAAACAACTTGAGGGGGAATAGGTCTCTGAAGGCCATTCTTGGACTGGCATTTTCGAGGAGGTTTCAACTTTGGAACGTTTCTGGACGCCAAGACCAAGATTTCGGCAAGTTAGCCAGGAGTACTTCCATTTTCGATGAGTCAACGGCACTCCCCAGCGCCCTGGACATCACAAAAGAAGTTGGCCTAAGCTACTATACAGCAATCACGCTCTGTCAAGACTTTTCTGACATTTCAGCACGACCTTCGGGAAGGAGTTGGAAGGAGGCTGGAAAGGCAGAGGGTGAAGTCTCCGAGGTACCCACAAGTCTGCAGCGCCTAGCTGGCCGGCCTCTTCGAACGCTTCGGAAGGGTCACTATGTTTTCAGATCTAGTCTTAATGTTGGTATTAGAAGAGCTCCGCACCCAGTGGTTTTTGCCATTTTCCCGGCTACCATACACCCGCAAATGGTCATGGTTTCGTTAGCTGGAGAGGGGAGATGATAAAGGGCTAAGGACTCCTCTAAGCGTATGATCGAATGAGGACTTGTGAGGGGTGGTGCTGTTTGAGGGGAGCTGTATGGGGGGCATAGGAGGTGATATACTACTGGTATAGATATCCTTGGCCTGTAGGCAGAGAGGACCTGCATGCCTTGTATACTTTTTTATTAAATCATTTGATGTGTGTTCAGCTATCTAGCTATGACACATGACCGGTGCTATGTATACGTGTGGGATGACTCTTTTGACATTTGAGACACTCATAATCTGGATTTCATTCGCAAATACCACTATGAGGTATGCTCGCTTTCACAAACAGTCGACCCTCCTCCGTAAGTACCCACCAAAGGGAATTTAAGAACCTTTGGTTATCCAAGCATGCCTTCGTCATCCATGCATATCAGCGCCGTGAGAAATGTGGTTGTATTTTGCCGGATTTGAGCCAGCGATCTACTGCCTCAAGTGGGATATGTGTCCAAGCTATCCAGACTCTACTTGGCAGACCGGCCAAGACGATGCACCACCGCACCATCCAACTATGGCGATGTTTATAGTGTCGCCTGCACTCTCTCAACCGAAGTCTTGGTGCGCACAAAGCTCAATTTGTAAAAACTCTTTGCTAAAATTCATAATTCCACGCCCGTCGTGACTGAATCCGTCGTTCGCATCATCTTGTGAACTTGTCCTGTATCCTCTCACGTCCATCCCAAAGAACAGTCTCCCAGATTGGTGCGCCACACTTTGCTTCCTCCGTCGGGTATAAATATCGGCGTGGGCGTGTATTTGGTGACCACCTGAGGCCAGAGAAAGTCGACGAGAGGTGTGATCATTGGGATGAGGATGTACTAGGCCATACTTGTAAACTTGATGAGGCTTAGGTAGGAATCGACTTCGTTGGGAGTGAAAGATTGACGTGGTGGAGTTATTTGAATCATTGCCTCGTGGGCCAACTTGTTCGGTAATGCGAAGTTTGACTGAACATGGCTCTAGGAAAATATTTCACTCCCAGAGTCGTAGAGGACATCGCGTACAGGTGTTCAGCCTTGCCCTCCATGCCTTACATAGTCACAGATTCAGAAAGGACAATAAAATGAATTAATAACAATGCTAGCAAAGGGTATATGCAATCTCCGTTCCTCAAACACCAGTCGGTCGGGACTACTTATTATCGAGCCTAGTAAGTCGACAAAGTGTATCTCAACACAGACATAATAGAAAACTAAAAAAAAAACCCTTCATCAATTACTTCCATTAAGCATCACCTGACTTATCTCTGTACTCCATATTTTCAACAAGCATGCATGTTGAATGTCAAAAAAAGGGTTGCAGAGAATTTGTATCGGTAGTTGATATCTTTTTTGCTAGTGATATCTATGGGGAACTGTATATAATTGCCTAACCAGAGCTCTAGCGATTTTATCGCCATGACGAAGTGTCTCTCGGGGCAAAATTTTATTGATATTGGTGTCAAAAGTTTGTTACAGGCGTTACTTCAAGTGAAACATGAATGAATATTAAGATTATTGCAGTAGTGATTGCGGAAGAAACTTGAGATGATGCTTCACTTTTGATTTTAGGTTAACGTGTAAGGGCAAAGGTAGCCTCAGCACTCTTTGAGGAGCTAGGGAAACGAGTGGGCCGCGCAAGATGAGGTTAACCATCATAATGTAGTTGAACTCCATCCCACTTGCAAGAACAGACCTCCTCAGACTTCACTAATGAAATGAATATGCCAAACCCAACTGTCCAGAAAATCTAATATTGACGCGTCGAAACGCGAAGTCCTCACCACAGTTGGCAACCATGCGCCAGAGTCTTGGAATCCTCCCATACTTTACTTGTGCATTTCGTTCAGGCCTGGCACTAACTCGTCCTGGCATCTACTCTTCTTATCCAGGTCTTATTATCTGTTTTTGAGACCTCATCAAGCCACTCACCTTGGCCTTATCTATTTTACTCTACTCTAGTGTTATTACATCTAAGTATTTATTTTGCCGATATATTCAGCTTAGAAGCTTTAAATTTTTTTTGACTCCTAGCCCTGCTTCTAATCTCATAGGTAGAATGCGCGACGAAAAGCTGAAGGATGAGTTAAAGATGCTCCAGTATCCTTCGCATTTCCTCATTGATATTTCCGCATAACATGGTAGGTTTTTTATCTGCGACAATTCGTGGTTGATCAAAATGTTATTATCATTGGCCGCGGTAAAAACGCATTTAAAGCCGTTACTTCAACAGTACCTTCACAGCATGCTGCTATTACGAAGGATTGGCGTCCTTATGTATTTTAGATAGTGATTTGGAATTTTTTGGTTCGAATCAGATTGGTAAGTGAAGGATAATTTTTGAGAGGGTGGCTAGAAGAGTTAAGACTAAAACTATGTTTCAATAAAAAGAAAGATGTTGAGAGGTGCTATCCGTTGCATAGACGAGATCAGTTTTGGTCGAGCCTATCTACTATTCATGTTAGGAGCAAATATGATAAAAGTCAAGGATTTGTGTAATCGTGGGGTTCCTGCAGGTCGAATTATAACCAAAAATATGCCAATAATACCCCCGATTGCCGTCCGAGCCATATTCCTCATGTTCACCCTTTGACGTGAGTGATTTTTTGTTTTGAGAGTATATTTAAGCTCCAAGTTCTTGGATGAAATCAGAAACAGTTCCAGCCTTGTTATTTTCCTTCAGGACCTTGTATACACAAGGCTGGCAAACTATGGCAGACGCGGGTTAGGATCTTATCGTTAAGCACGCGATCTGTCGCTTTTCATTGGCCAATCATCTCATGTCATGGTTATTGTGCAGGGCTGGGTCAATTTTTACATACTTCAACTTCCTCTACCCGCGCCCGAAAGTTGATTTATTGTCTACTTATCGCCTGCCTTACTACGACTTCCCCACAAGAGTACAACATTGACATATCAAATTCCCCGTTTACATCTTCCCAAATACCGATGCATACGACCGACTCTTATTTCTGAGTGCATCCATTCAACCCCGACAAACGCTTCACGCGTACTACCAACTCTTACATCACTTGTCAAAGTGGACCTGGAACAGGAAATCAAATTAAAATCAGCCTATCTCAAGCTCTTTCGTGCTCATCATGTCGGGCTTTGGAGGCTTTGGTGGTTTTGGCCAGAACAATAACCAGACAACTAGTTCCGCATTCAATGGGTTCGGTACAAATACGGCTCAATCTACAGGTATGTCTTTGGCATCCGCTGCGTCCCTCAGATGAGATTATTTAATACACCCATGCCCTATGGACTGTGACAAGTAGAGTCAAAACTAATGGCTAATACGATCTCTATTCATAAAACCAGGCTTTGGAACGGCACCCACCTCAGGATTTGGATCAACAAATAATACCACGGGGACTGGTCTGTTTGGAAGTGGTACTACAAGCGCTTTTGGTGCTCCTGGAGGTATGTTATAAAAGCAAATATTTCTACACGCTGTCCTCAAGCCAACCTCTTGATGCTTTCAATGAATTATTCTTTCAACTAGCTCTATGGTTAGATACCCAAATCAATAAATCTCTTCCCAAACTAAGTTTATCTTCTGTATCCACTATTCAGATGCATGCGTTCATAATCTGGCCTACCATACATTAACTAGAGGCTCTAAATAGCTAACATAACCAGCTACGAGTGCCTTTGGTAGTACAACAAACGCTTTTGGTGCTGCCAAACCACCTACATTTGGTACAACTCCTTCAACCGGAGGTGGGTTATTTGGGAGTGGCAATACAAGCACTGGTGGTGCATTTGGCACTAGTGGATTTGGGGCAAACAGTTCATCGACAACTTTTGGAGCTAATAATGCCGGAGGAAGTCTGTTCGGAGGTAGGAAACCTTTTGATAAATTCTCATTCTAGATATTAACAAAGATAATACAGCTGCTTCAAGTACTCCGTTTGGGAGCACACCATCAGCAGCAACCTCTGCATTTGGCGCTCCTGCACAAGCTGCCATAAGTCAGCCAACTACGGGAGAATGTCAAGGAACAGGTAGTGTTCCATTTCAAGCCTTCGTTGAGAAAGAGCCAAATAGTAGCTCCAACCAACAAAACTCTTTTCAAAACATAACTTTTCAGTTGCCGTACCAGAAGTTTTCCCCGGAAGAGCTAAGGTTAGTAGATTATAACCAAGGTCGGCGTTATGGAAATGGAAGTAATCAGGCGGGAGCCTTCGGGCAAACAAATTTCGGAGGATTTGGCGCAAATAATACAGGATTTGGCTCAGCAAATAATACCACGGGAGGAACAATGTTTGGTACAGCAAATACAAGCTCTCCTTTTGGAACCACACAGCAAACAACTGGGGGATTTGGTAACAATTCAACAACTGGAACTGGCAGTATTTTTGGGGCAAAACCGACAACAGGGGGATTATTTGGTACTCAACAAACAACTCCGCAAACTGGTGGCTTATTTGGGAATACCACTCCAAGTGCATTTGGTAATACGAATACCAATCCTGGAGCTTTCGGCACAGCAAATACAAATACGGGTGGATCTCTATTTGGGCAGGCAGCTCCTGCAAAACCTGCCTTTAGTTTCGGATCCACGCAACCAACTTCGGCTGGAACAGGCTTTGGCGGAACAACAACGACAGCTGGTGGGTTTGGTAGTGGTGGACTCTTTGGCAATAATAATCAGCAGCAGCAACAACAACCTGCGACTTCAGGTTTTGGTGCTCAACAGCCTACTGGAAATATTGCTTTCGGTGCACTTGCAGCAAATACCCAAGCTAGCGGAACGACGTCTCTTTTCGGAAACACTCAGCAAAAGCCCGCGGGTGGTCTATTCGGAACACCAGCACCTGCCACTAACACTGGAGGCCTCTTTGGCAACAACTCAGCCAATTCAGCCTTTGGTAACAATATAAGCAATCAGACCAGCTCAAGCCTTTTTGGAAACAAACCTGCTAATTCTGGTAACGAAAATGTCTTCGGTGCGCAAAATAATCAACCTAATGCTGCTGGAAATGCCTTTTCTGGCTTCGGAAATCAAAATCAACAAGCCCCCAGTCTTTTTGGCTCAATAAATAACAATAATCAACAAAAACCCTCGTTATTTGGAGGAAACCAGCAAAATTCAACTAATAATTTATTCGGGAATACTGGTATCCAACAAAATAACTCTTTATTTGGTAGTACCAATAACCAACAACAGATAAATTCAGGTTTTGGTGGAGGGAATATGTTTAGTAATACTATTCAAAACCAACAAGGACCTCAAGCATTAACAGCTAGCATTGGGGATAATGCCGCCTTTGGTTCCCAGTCTCTTTTTGCCGATATAGCCTCTACACAAGTGAATAATCCAGGTCCCATCGCGACTCCTCTATCTAGTAATCGCAATTCAAGCGGGCCAAAAAATGCAGCTTTACCTCTCTATAAACTTAACTCTGCGTCTACTTCACGATTTTCTACCCCCCAAAGACGTGGGTTCGGGTTTTCATACAGTACTTATGGTTCACCAGCCAGTGCCACTAGCACTTCTAGTACCCCAGGTGCTTTCAATACTAGTAACTTACTTGGAGCTGGATCTTTCAGCCGCACGCTCAGCAAGAGCGTTTCTACCAGCAGTCTCCGCAGAAGCTTCAACACGGAGGATAGTATTTTGGCTCCTGGAGCATTCTCGGCGAGTTCGGGGGCTGGAAACTTTGGAAGTACCGGAAGTGTCAAGAAGTTAACCATAAGTCGAAATATTCGTTCTGATTTGTTCACGCCTCCCCTATCGCAAAAACAGCAATCAAATATTCCATCCGGAATACTAAAAAAGAGGGTATCATTTGACTCTAGTGTCGGAGGTGGCAGCGGAGGGATTGGTGCTTCCAGCCCGTTGAAACAGGTTGATACAGCCACTCTCGGACAAAAAGAGCTTGGCTACTCTCGAGGCCGAACAACAACAAATGGAAACCAGTCTTCTGTAATGGTCCCTGCTATCGATACAGATCAGCTCACCACTAGCAGTAATCAACTTGCTATTGTTAGAGAAGAGGAAGCCGCTGAACCAGGGGAGTTTGGTGCATCTGAATCTTTAGACGAAAGAAAAGCTGGAGATTATTGGATGAAACCCAGTAAAGCAGAAATTGAATCCATGAATCGTGTGCAACGGCAAAAAATATCAGGGCTTACAGTTGGTCGGCACGGGATCGGCTCAGTGAAATTCAATGTCCCAGTTGATCTAACCTCTATCAATATTGATGAAATCATGGATCATATAGTAAAGATAGAAGTTCGTCAGGTCACCGTGTATCCCGACAACTGCCAGAAGCCACCAGTGGGTAGAGGCCTTAATGTACCTTCAACTATTACATTAGAAAACTCTTGGCCCCGCAAGAAAGACAAAAAGACACCCCTAACAGATCAATCGGGTATACGGCTACAAAAACATATTGAAAAGCTGAGAAAAGTCCCAGACACAGAATTTGTCAATTATGAGAAGGCTACAGGAACCTGGATATTCATGGTTCCACATTTTACAACTTATGGATGTCCAGACGAGGATGAGGATGAAATTAATGAAGAAGAAGCGAAGCCGGTTAAAAATTTTGGGCCCGTCGCACAAGATTCAACACAAAACTCTTCCGTGTCTAATCACTTTGATTCATCATTTGTTTCCTCACAAATGACGCTAACAGACTCGGAACCAGAAGATACCTTTCAGTTCAAAAAATCTAAAATCTTTCTTCCCGGTGCTTTCGACGATCGAGTTATCTACGAAGATAGCCACCAAAATCAACTAACAGTAACAGAAGAAAATTCGTTTTTAGACGACCGCTCCGTACACTCCTCATCCGATAATAGTTCAAGAAACTCGATGGAACCAGCTTCTGTGTCAAATAATTGTGAATCAGACGGCAACTTTCCCCGCGAATCAAACAGCATGTTACTTGAGTATGGAAGTTTAGTAGAGCTTATCAGCTCTGAAGGCGATGATGATGATATTAGATCCGAAAAGGATAATCCAGCAGCTTTTGAAACATCACTTTGGGATGATTCAAGGAATTTTGGCACTCCCACGGGGCGCTTCCTTCCAAACGATGATTGGACATCCACGTTACAAAAGACAATTAGTCCTCGGAAGCAAGATCGTGCACTTCTTAAGAGTCTAGTTGAAGTAGAAGATGAAGAATCACAGTTTGGTACCTTCAAAAACTCGGTGTCTGACCGCATGATTTTAGATGGAGATGGACTCGTCACTAGCATTGATCTTATGAACTCTCTCTTCGGTCAGAGTAGAGTTTATGGAAAGCTTTCCCAAGCTCCCGCAAAAAGGATGGGGTTTGAGGTTAGTATTCTCCCCCAATAATGATATTAGGAAGAGGAACGGATGTCTTCTCAAATATTTGTATATAATTAATAATTGAACCTTTTTGCTAAGGCATGTTTTTAGTGGCCATATGAAAAGCGACCAAAAACAAGTGAGCACGATACTTCTAACATGGATGAAAACGAACGATTATTTTATTATTCTTTGCGACCTGAATGGGGCCCTGATGGTACTCTCATCTACGCTGCACCTATTCCTGGGAATTCATTGAAAAAGTCTCCTTTAGGGGATCGAGAGAGCAATGCACTGCTCTGTATACAGAAGAGAGTTATTGTATCTGAGCATAGAGATCTTCATTTTGCAAGATTTACAAATGAGGCATCGGCTGGACTGTTTCAAAGATACAAGGATATTGCGATTATAGATGAAACAAATAGTATCCCAATTGCTGCTCTGCCCAACACATTTTTATTTTCTAATTTCTCTGATAATAGCAGTTCTCGCGACCAGGCAATGAGTCATGAGAAACTTGTGTGGGAGTTGGCTAGTATTCTATGGGATGATTTCATAGTTCCTGATGAACTCCAAGATATCCCTCAAATTAAATCTCTACTACGAAAAGAAAAGTTATCCGTATTCTGGGAAAAGGTTGTCGAAGATTCTTCAAGTAAACAAATCGCCTTGACAAGATCTTATGAGGAAAAAGCAATATTTTCCCTCTCTGGTCATAAGGTTGATAATGCGTGCTCTAACTTAATAGCTGCAGGTAATCTCCGCCTTAGCACACTTGTTGCACTTATTGGAAGCAAGGAAAGCATCAGGAAAGATATACGAGAACAACTTCATGCTTGGCAGAATTCGAAGATACTTTCTGAATTTACACAGCCTATCAGGACAATATACGAGATTCTAGCAGGAAATGTCTGCACATGCGAGGGACTCAAGGGGCCTTTAGAAGATAGAGTCGATCATTTTACTATATCAAAGCGTTTTGGACTTGATTGGCGACAGGCCTTTGGACTTCGATTATGGTACGGTATCTCATTCGAAGAACCTATCGAATCTGCCGTGAAATCATTTGATGTAGACATAAAGGAAAAGAAAGAGACTGCATGGCCTATTCCATGGTATATTGAACATAAAGTACCAGCTTTATGGCAAGATCCTAGTGCAAACGATCGCATTGATTTACTCTGGGGGCTTTTGAAGCTGTATTCTTTTGAAGATGCGGATATAGAAGATGCACTCTGCCCAGAAAACGCGCAATTGTCGCCAATGAATGTTCGACTTTCGTGGCAGCTTAGCCAGGCTATGATTTGTGCTGGTCCTCTCCGATTCAAATCTGAGAGTAAAGTCAAAGCTGACCAACTCACCTTATCATTTGCCTCTCAACTTGTCAGTGAAGGTAGCTGGCTTGATGCGACCTTCGTTCTCTTACATTTAACATCTCCAGATATGAGATCTAGATCAATTCAGGATCATATAGGTCGGAATGCAGGTCAAATTAAAAATGAAACCTGTCCAAATTTTATCATGCTTGAAAAAAAATACAAGATTCCTACATCTTGGATTTGGAGAGCTAAGGCTCTATATCTACGAAGTGTGGAAAACGATCCTAGGGGTGAAGTAGAATGTCTCCTCAAAGCTGGCTCGTTTTGTGAAGCTCATCGAACTTTTTATAGGGAAGTAGCTCCCAAAGCCCTAATAGAGCTGGACTATGAAAGCTTGAGAGTACTTCTCAGAGGATTTCTTGGTATGGACAGTGTAATTGGAGAATGGTACTTGGGAGGACAAATCTATAAAGATTTTCTGGAACTTGTTGACTCAGAAAGTGTGGGGCACGCTGCAGATGACCTAGTTCTCGAAAGATTACTAAGCGGACTTCCGTCAATCATGGAAGAGTCAAGGCACCAATCTTTTATGGAGAAAGTGGCTGTTCAAACAATGAGCTCTACGGTTGCCAAGACAGTGCTTCACTATGCAAAGCAAGGAGCGGTAAGTCAATATCAAACATTCAAAGACTCTTCTAAATGCTTATTGTATCAGACGAATTATCTTCCTAAAATTCCAAAGCTTCCCCTCACCGAAGATAAGTATTTAGAACATACCTTTGAACTCAGCTCTCTGTTACTTAATACTGTAATGGCGGGTGCCTAATGACTTTAAAAACGAGTAGCTCATGGATTCTCTTGGTCACAGTATTTCTTAGACTCGATATTTAGTATATTGAGGGAAATTAGACCTGTCTCTATTATAAATGGCGAGAGGCGTTTGGCAGGCTCAGCAACGCTAACGCTGCTGTAACTTGACTGTTTGACTTTGGCAATAAGAGAAGTTAAGTGTTTGGATTCCTGTCAGGATTCGTGTATGCTATCCAAAACTTAAACTTCCTTGTAAGATTTCAAGTCGAACATATCTGTTCTAGATCTAATTAATTCTATGTATACCAGTCTCTTTAGAACTCTTGGGAATGTTTTCCGAATAAAAAACTAATTTCTTGGGTATTAAAAGTGGGTTCTGAGAGCACAATGTCTTTCGTAACTTTATTGCAGTATTGAAGACTGCCTTCTACTTGCTAGAGCCGTTCAATATTGAAATCATGAATTACCTCTGCAGACTAGATGTCAATTAAAAATACTCAGTACGGTCCCTGATCCTGGTGGAGAAATAGCACCCTAAATCCCACACTTTCAGCCGCACAATGTTATTATGTCTGATATAACTTCCATGCCTCCAGTACGGCATTGTCTCGACAATTATTTCTTCAAATATGTAAGGGTTTGTGTACCTGCAGCAGATATACTTTTTTAATTCTCGGAATGTTACTATCCACCCTATCCAACCGTTTGTGGAACATTCATTCGTTTCTCTAGTTTAACGTCCTATGCGGTACCGATATACAGAACCATGAAGACGGTAAGCCATGTTAAGGGAAAAAGCTTCTAAGCAACAAAATCCGCTGTACTGCCATTCTGAACCGACCCAGTTTAATGCTGAGGGCATTTTTTCCAACCATTATTTTATAGACTTTCCACGAATCTCGTTAACCCCCCCTTCGATCAGATTACTACTATGAAGAATTAAAAAGAAAAGGCACCTCCTCGCTCGGCGTTGGTTGTCGGATAGTGGCTCTGATGGTGGTGCTATTGGCGCGGGCATTGTTCGTGCCACTGGGGCTTCGACTACCTTACGCGGTCGCTCTGGCCCCCCTTTGAGTCTTTCAGTCTTCTTGTTGGTTGCCAAAATAAATATCTATTTATCAGTCGTTTTGACTGTTCGCGTCGGGAACAGTTTGGGGTTTTCATTCCATATTTCCGCCGGTATAAATAATAGCTCCATCCGAACCTTCTCCACACTTCCCTTGTAGACCTGGTAGGTCCGACACGCTGATTTCCACCACGAACGGTGTTCCTTGCCGCAGTTCGCACAAGAGATCCTTTTCCCCGGACAGTCCCGAGTTTGATGAGCACCAGCGCACTCACCGCATCTAGCTGTCTTTCCACACGACGCCTGTGTGTCCCCACTGGCTGCAGTTAAAGCATTGCTTTGGTTGGGTCCGTAGTGACCATACTTGCGCGGTGAAGAGCATGGCGTTCATTACTAGGCCATTTCGGGCTACTTCCGCTTGCATTTCCTCCGATGAGAGGCTCACCACTATTGTTCCGCGAGTGCGGCCATTTTTCTTTGACCGCTGGTGTTCCCTTCCCTCACGGAACCATCAAATTCTATTGATCGTGAGACCTGGGATTCGCGCCCTTTTTGCCCTCTCTATATCCTGGATGATGACGTAATTGTTGGCATCTCTGCCCCCTTCGACTCGTGTCCGCAATGGGACACCGTTGACCTCGACTGGAAAGTCTTGTGGCAAGATTTTAAATTCGGTTGGTATTCGCATATATAGCACCGCGTCTCTCTGAGAGGCCGACTGGACAAACACCTCGGTGTCATGGCTTCGCACATGTCGAGACGCATATGCACCATCAATGTGTTCTTTTGCTTTTGATAGTAGCTCTTCTGGACGCAGTTTATCGGCTCCGTCAATTTTTATTTGTATCGCCGTCTTAGTCATTTGCGGAGCTACGACTGACACGTAGCTTCTTGGTGTCGGCGCGCCCGAAGTCGCTGCCGGAGCAGCTTTTCGAGTAGGATCCGCGAGGCTCTTCTTGACAATTTCCTCTAATGCCATCATCCTCTCCTCGATTGGAGACGTCTTCCAGGATATATCAGTCCAGGCCCTTTTGCGAGCATTGAATGCCTTCACGACTTTGTTGACATCCTCCATAGATGGTAGGTCCTCCTCATCCATCTCTCCCATCACGATGAGTCTATCTTTTTTACGTAGTTTCCGCAGGGCTTCTAAATTCTTATCCTCTGAAGCTATCTACGCTCAGCTGCTGCTGTTGTTGATGGCCATTGTCGCTTTTTGCCATGCTTCGAAAGCGCTGGGCTTACCCACACCAGCATCTACACCAGCCATATTGAAGCACGGAAAGCGAGATGACGGTATGGGGGTAAAGAAGATACAAAAATTGGATTCACCATGTCAAGTTGATAAAGGCAGCGTGGAACACTGCGCAGCTTATTGGCAAAAATGATGTTTTTTTGAAGTGGGACAATGGAGAATAATTGTCCCGTTGGCTCTTTTTTTTTTTTGCATCAGATTTTAATTGCGTATGCAGCTATCTAGCTATGACACAATATCAAAGAAAAGTGCAGAATAGATGATTCAACGTAAAGGAAGAGCACTCATACCTCAGATTTCATTTGCAAGTACCACTGCGAAGTTATGGTGGCTTTTTCTTCACCCCAAGTCAACCCTCATCCGTGAATACCTACTCAGGGGAACATCTCAAAAACCCTGAGTTATCCAGACATGCCTTCGTCATCCATCAAATTTTCTCTGCGCGAAATATTGTCTTAGGCGTCTCCTTCCCAAGTGGAATAGGTGCTCAGGCTACTCAGACTATACCAGAGAACACCACCAGGAGGCGGACCACAAAACCTTCCATCGTTGGCTTGTGCTTATAGTGTCGCCTGCACTCTCGTAGCCAAAGACTTGGCACGCACAAAGCTCAATTTGTAAAAACTCCTTTCCAAAACTCAAAATTCCACGCCCGTCGAGACTGAATCCATCCTCTGCATCATCTTATCAACTTGTCCTGATCCCTCTCACATCCATCCCAGAACCATGAGATAAATCAGGCTATGCACGCTAGATATAGAATGGCTAGCGGATATGGTGAATATGGGGGTAAATACGTAGATATATAAAGACATTGTAGCCTCTAAATTTGAGGACAAGTCTTCAACCAAATTATATCGGAATTAATCCTAGCCTCTCGTAAAGCAGTCTCATGAATCTATTTCCGTGTCTGTGATAACAGACCAATGTACAAAGTCGACGATCAAGTTCAAAGTCGATTAAAACCACTCGAACAAAGAAGGGCCCGAGGGACAAGTCGCCGGAGGCAGCATTTATTTAACATCCGCAAGCCAGGAAACGCAAATCTACGGCACAAACTGAAGTTCCAAAAGATTAGACAGACGATTGAGCCGTTGCTACTCCTCCGAGCCTTATTAGAAAAGAGGACACAGTTCCAAATGTTATGCTGCTAATTTCTAGTGTGTGAGAGGGCTTGACCCTCAGGATGAACTGGTATATAATTGTAATATTCAAATTAGAAATTAAACTATAAATTAAGAAGCTATTTAGTTAGGTACTTAAGTAGTCTTTCATAGTCTAGGACTCAACAGAGGCTTAGATTCAAATAAATTCATCAATCCAGTGAGTGGGTTATCAGATTTTTTTTGAGGATGATTGTGTAATCGCGGGAGGAATCTGGGGCATATTTCCGTGAAGAACCTCGCTTCCGAAACGCATTTGGTAGTTTTGGCTGCTCCTTTGCGTGTGCCGAGAAGACATAAAGTCCTACTAGGGAATGCCCCGGGAGGCCCTGGGGGTCTCTGGATCGGCAGACTACATTGTAATACGTGTCTGAGAGCCCTAGGTTGGGATATTTCTTTGGGAGATCTCACTGGGAGCGCCATTTTGAGAATACGGTATGATTGTGAAGACTTTTGCTCCCAATGCTCATTTATTGTTAGAGAACCAGACCATGTCCCATTAAATCGAATAAGGCACCTATACTACTTCACGACTCGCTTAGTTACGAGCCGTGCACTGTCTTTAGGATAGACGCGTCAGTAGTTATTCACAGAGTCATCTAAGCGACGAGTCGAAGACGATCTGTCTGGTGAAGGAACAGTCATATTTCGATGACTCAAGTCATTGACAGAGTACTTCTCGGTTACACGAGAGGATGAGATAGGTTAAGAATAGAGTGAATTAGTGGATTACAGTTTGGTGGATGGGGGCTTCTATAAGAGCCAACTCATATCGCCGTTATGGGACATTAATTCAATGCTGATTCATCTACGCCTTACGTTTGCTGTATAGTGTCTCTTATCAAGTTATGCAAATGATTAGAGTACGTATATTTTAATATTTATCGAATAAAGTAGTATGTGTTTGGCCTAGCTCTTCGCTGCACTCGCGGAAAGGGAGCATTTCGAGCGCGGGCTCAGGGATAGAGCTTCGTCGCAGGCACGATCTGCTAGGGCATTTCCTCGGATCCCAGAATGTCCTGGGGATCTAGCGAACTTTAATTTTTCCTGGGGCAGTATGTGAAAGACGTTGTCGAAGAGGCCAGGCGTCTACATTAATGGCAAGACTAATAAAATTGTCTTGAGAAGAGCAGACTGGAGTTGAGAGAAGACGCCAGGCGATGTTGAGATTATCTAAAAGAACCCAGAGATTGTTGGCGAAGCGTGTATGTGGAGGGATATAAACAGTTCCACTGCTTCGAGCGCTTCGAGCGCTACGAGAACTCCCGCATCTAAGGTTTCCAGCGTCAGGCTGAGGGATAGAGGTTTCTTTAAAACGACTCAGTTAGCTTGCATAATAGCTGTTCTCCCACCTACCCGGGGGCCGAATTCTGTCTCTTGACGTCCGCCCTACCAGTAAACTACTGGGTCTTGGAATGGGATGGTTTCTTGAGTGCAGAAAAGTGATCTGGTGACCCATTTAATGCTTGCGTGCTAGCTTCCCTGATAGTGCTATGGTGATTCTTGGAGGGGGTTAGGAATTCTATCTTTGAGAATCCAAGAATCTATGCGGAGCGATGTCAGACCAGGATCAGAGCCCGATGGAATCAGTAATCTTGACTTGATGTTTTCGTGATTCATGTAAAATCCATTCTTCTAACATGATTGTAATATTATTGTCAGAATAACATGCCAAGCTGGTACCTGACATAATTTATGATTGCCTTAGGAAAATATTGGCGTTCTGGGTAATTCTCAGCTAGAAAATACTTGGGGTCCGTGTAACAGACGTGGCGGACTGGTATTGAGTCGGTTTAGGATTCCATCTTGGCTACAGCATGTTTGGATTGTGTCCTGTGATTTAAGGAAGCTATTTCTAGATATTATCATCATATGTCAGGTAGTAGATATGTGTAGATATATAAGCTGAGAGAAAGAGGAAGGAAGACAGACAGACAGACAATAACATCTTTTTATTTTACTTCAATTGAAAGCTCCTGTGCGAGCTATTCTTCCAGATACCTCAAGTCTCAATCATTACAGCTTCCAAACCAGCTCAAAAGTTTCGACAAGCGGCATGATACGCGTCTGTCGTGCTACAAGGTCCACGTGATAGAGTAGCGCAGGGGTGTTAGGATCCATACCGTGAGTATATAGGGCGGCCTAGTGTAATTTAGCGTCCAGTTGAATAGCTGGAGAAAGTGAGCTAGCTTCGCGGTAGAGGATTGGGGTAGGGGTTATCAGATGCACAGGTAAAATGGCACCGGCACTGCAGACAATTACTTTCCGTATTAGGGTTAATCGGCCTTCGACTCAGTTTGAGACATTACGGTTTTGAGGCGCGGCTCTGTGTTGGCCAGGCCACCAGGTATCAGCACCATAATAGGATATGGGCAATATACAGGCAATTATCGCATGGGAGAAGGTTTGGTGTAGGCCCGCGGGATGTATTGTCTCAGCTTCGGAGGGCGTTCAATACCTTCAGATCTTTACTGACGGAATCTTTGTGAGCCGCTTGAAGGATAGTTTCTTGTCAAAGTAGACTCCGACCCATCAGGTATATGTTCGTGTGGAGCTTTCGGTGATAAAGAATTGTCCAATTGTGATAGCTAGCGTAGAAATAAGATCCTTGAATGCCCTCCTAACCAGTAGATCCGGAGATGAGATGTGGAACAGACGATGTTGTCGACAAATCGAAACATGATTTTTTTGAGGGCGGAAGGGTCCTTTACCGTTGTAAAGGGAAGAGCTTACGGAGGTTAATTGGCAGAAGGTTTACGGATGATTATCGATGAATCAATGTGAACTGCTGATATATTTGATATTCAGAACTATGAGGATTTAGGAGATATAAAGCGCTAATTATATACACATCCGAGGTAGCTAGACTCTCGCCTTATTTACCCAAAACACTATCACGGAATATTCTAGTCTCCTCCATCTGGTAGTACAATCTAGAAACGCTTTCTATTCAGTGCTCCATTACTCTTCTACTCATCATGGAGCCACCTGGAAAGTTTTTCCTTCACCCTCAGTAATCATTACCCTTGTGCATCGTAATCCTGGCCATCACCAGCATAACATTTACTATGCTTTGGTGGGATCTTTGTTTGTCCGCCGGTGGGTAGCACATGTTGTGATATAACGAGGGCTTCTCTGACCACCGTTGTAGCGTTTGGTACCGCATTATCTTTCCTCATTCCCAGCATCATTATCGTCGTCTTGGTCGTCTTATGAGTCATCAGAAGCGTATCTTTGACGGAGGCGGAGATAACTATGCTCAAGGTCGGAAAGTTGATACTCCATCTCGGCTCTGCAGACTCTATAGTGAAAGCTGGAGGTCGACAAGGGACACCACTGACAGGTGTTGAGTTTCATCCCCCTCTGTGCTGGTATTATAAACTGCTGTCAATAGGAGATCCTGCACTGGCTATCTATGAAATCAAAAGAAGTATTAGAATATGAATCCTTTAGATAGGTAATACAGTAGTAATAGAAGTAGAGTTGAAAAAGTATAGGATTAACAGAACGCGTACATTACTCTGCTCACACAGCATTTTAGAATGCTGCGACTATGCTCCTACTAATATGTGTCTACCGACCTCGCCATCACGCTAAGATGAAACTACTAATACAGGGTAGATAAGATCTCCAAACGCCTCACTCATTTTACTCTTAGCTAAACAATAATCACAACCATAACTCCATTATGTCAAGGCACAGGGAGGATTGTGTATGACCAACACTCTTATAGTTTAACAAGAAGTCTGGTATCCGTGTTCAAAATAGTAGTTGAATTGCAATCTTTTTTATCTTTCATGATTGTAGAAGCGTAAGCTACTGCCAATAACTTCCACAAACTTAGTAGTGAGTTGCATTTCAATAGAGCCTACATTTTTATCCTTGACACAGTACTTGATATGTATGCTCCTCGGCAGCCTACCTAACCATTGATGAATTTGCCTTCAATGAGTGATAGTTTGCCACCCGAGTTAGGGTGAATGCCATAGATCTTGTATCTGTCATGAATAGACATTTATAGATCACGCTTACAACATCCACATTAGAAAAAGTAATACACAATGATTCGTATGTACTAATTTCTTAGGCTGTGCGCATCTTCAATCAAGCAAGAAGCTGACTAGCCAGAATCTTCATGCACTAATCCTCAGCATAATAGTCACTTGTATGGGTGAAGCATTGTATACGGCACTTGTTTCGATCTTCATTTGATAAGAAAATTTCCTTTCGCATATAAGCGCCCGTGATTCCCAAACGAGACTATTACACCTAATCCAGCAATTCAATATTCCGGCGTATATCAGCTCCACTATCTAATATGTGAAGTACAAAACTAGTAGTCATGTTTCTTGTTAAATCCTGGCCTAATAACTCCGCAGAGATATACAAATAGATTGGCATGCATGCTAGTATGTTGGGATAATCCTGAGGTAAAGATCTGAGCGATATATGTTTGTCGTAACTCCGAAAAATCGAGGTGTAGTCTGAGCCAATTGATACAAATATTTAGGGTGTAGTTTGCGCGCACTAGTACGAAATAGCTTAATCCTGGTTTGGTCAACCAATCTGTGGGAAACTTTGAAGGGTATTTCGGCGTTTGGAGTCTGCAAGACATTTGCTGGATGTTTTGAGGTTTTCTCTGTTGATTTTGAGCAAGTGCATTTCGATCACGGGACCTAGAAACTTCTACAATTGGCTTCCGGAATACTTTGGAACATGTGATGGGACACTAAAGTGGAGTGAAGTTGCTCCCCAACGAGCCTCCACGACAATTTTGAGTCGAAGCTGAAGGTTACGATGAGAGATCAAGCTCCTCTAGTTTCATTAAATTTCGAAACATTTGCGTTCTAAAGATTTTCTATCCCGCTCTCTTTCGGTAATGTGATCCAGTGTACAGGTGGAACGTTCTGTGCACAGAGCTACAAGTTTATAGATATTCCATTCTATTTCGTCAAAGTGTTAGCGTATCACGTGCACAGCTCGCTGGATCAACAAGAAAGAATTACTATCCCATATACGCCCCTCCGTTAATTCATCAGTCGTCTTTATTGGTAGCCACAACGCCATAGAATCTGCAGGAATGTCTCGGCCTAAGTCTCCTTTGAACTGCGATCTGTGCCACATCATCTTTCGCAGTTTATTTTTCATACAAAACTTCTCTGATCGACATTCATGAAAAGTAGATTCGTAATAGTTTCTCATCTTGGTCAACTTCTCTTGAATCAGTTCTGCCCCAAAATTTATCCTCGTGTGACATTGAAAAGTTCTCTGATTATCTGCGGAGACAAAGATAAAAAGTAGAGATGCAATCAGGAACGAGTGGATGCGTTGCATTTTCCTTTAGAAGAATCAAGATTGTTGACTGGTGGTGGACAATATCTCTAGGTTGACGGTTGTTGCTGATGTAGATGTTGATTATAACTTGATGTTTGATTTCGCTCACCTATATACCCATAAGTTCAAGCTCTTGGCTAATAGTTCTATCAGCTGCACCAGCCCAAATAACCGTTCGAGTCATGAGTCGCGTAGGTCCTGAATGTTGATTCCAGGCTAGCTGCTTCGCCAAAAGAAGCTATTGGATGTTCAAATGTGTCCCTTGTAGTCATTTGCCTGTGGGACGATTCATTCAAATTTAAGGGTCATGAGTCAAGGCCCAGCCAAATAAAAGAAATTAACTGGTTGCTCAGTCGTACTCCGACAACAGAGTACGAAGGCTGAACTGTTGGAAATCTAGACTTCGTATGTATGAAGGTTTAGATTTCTAGTTTGATCATCAAGATCAATTTACTTATTTCTATTGCATACGATTAAGCTCAGCTAGGGGAGGGCAAGACTGAACACCTGTACGCGGTGTCCTCTACGAACCTGGGAGTGAAATATTCTCCCAGAGCCAAGTTCAGTCAAATTTCGCAATATCAAAGAAGTTGGCCCACGAGGCAAAAATTCAAATTACTCCACCATGTCAATCTTTCACTCCCAAAGAGTCCGATTCTCAACTAAGCTTCATCAAGTCTACAAGTACGACCTAGTACATCCTCGTTTCAATGACCACACCTCTCGTCGACTTCCTCTGACCTCAGCCGGTCACCAAATACACGCCCACGCCGATATTTATACCCGACGGAGGAAGCAGAGCGTGGAGCACAAATCTGGGAGATAGCTCTTTGGGATGGACGTGAGAGGGATCAGGACAAGTTCACAAGATGATGCAGAAGAGGGATACGTTTTCGACGGGCGTGGAATTTTGAATTTTGGCATGGAGTTTTACGAATTGAGCTTTGTGCGCGCCAAGACTGAGCTTGCGAGAGTGCAGCTGACACTGTAAAAACAAGCAAACGATGGAAGGTGTTGTGGTCCGCCTCCTGGTGATGTTCTCTGGTATGGTTTGAGTAGCCTGGGCACCTACTCCACTTGGGAAGGAGACATCTCAGATCATATTTCGCGCGGAGAAAAGTTGATGGATGACAGAGGCATGTCTGGATAACTCAGGGTTTTTGAGATGTTCCCCTGGGTGGGTATTCACGGATGAGGATTGACTTGGGGTGAAGAAAAAGCCACCATAACTTCGCAGTGGTACTTGCAAATGAAATCCGAGGCATGAGTGCTCCTCTTGTATATTGAGTCATCTTTTCTGTACTTTTCTTTGATATTGTGTCATTGCTAGATAGCTGCATACGCAATTAAAATCTGATGCAAAAAAAAAAGAAAGCTCAGCTAGGGGAAACAAGGTTCAGTAGTATCTGAAATGCAGTGGCTAGGAAATGATACCATGCGGTAATTGAGTGGCTGGTTGTAGCTAGATCACTGGGAGTTCCGGATCACTAAAGCCTCGGTAATCTGTATTTAAGGATTGGCTTATTTGTACACGTTAAACTAAGTTAACGGATTATTATATATTATTAATTCATATTGAGAAGAGAGTTCGATATCACATACAACTATCAATAAAATCTTGTCCGAAATTGTACACTCGTTCTTCGAGATATTTCCTCCTAGAAATCCTTGACAATTTCTAACATGAACGCCTGTCATCAATGTCCTCTACGAGCCTGGGAGTAAAAATTCTCCCAGAGTAGAGATTCCATCATAACAAAAGGTGTATATGAGAGCTTTTGTCGAGATGTCGAGGAATTTCAGACGTTAACAAACACAAAAGTAAGAACTTCATAGCATACTGTTCTTATGTCAGCTGCGACTGTGGTTCGAACACAGGACCTGAGGATGACGGAGATACTGCAATCCTCCGCTCTACCACTGAGCTACCGCAGCTCTATGTGACGCTTAGGCACCCATTACATTATAAAGATTAGAATATATTTTGAATGTTCAACTCAAAAACAATTTATTAATTATTAACTAATCATTTGTCCTGTCTGAGTCTGTGACTATGTAGGACATTCAGATCCTCTCTGCCTAAAGGCCAAGGATACCTGTGCCAGTAGTATATCCTCTCCTATGCCTCCCATACAGCTGCCCTCACAAGTCCTCGTTCGACCATACACTTAGAGGAGCCTTTTACCCTGCATGATCTCCCTTCTCCAGCTAACGAAATCATGACTATTTGCGGATGTATGGCAGCCGGGAAAAATCGCAAAATATTACTGGGTGTGGAGCTCTCCTAATACAGACATTAGGACTAAATCCGAAGACATAGTGATCCTTCTGATGCGTTCGAAGAGGCCGGCCAGCTGGGCGCTGCAGACTTGTGGGTACCTCTTGAAATTCACGCTCTCCCTTACTAGCCTTCTTCCAACTCCTTTCCGAAGGTCGTGCTGAAATGTCAGGAAAGTCTCGACAGAGCGTGTTTGCTGTACGGTAGCTTAGCCCGACTTCTTTGGTACCGTCCAGGACGCTGGGGAGTGCCGTTGACTCATCGACAATTGAAGTCCTCCTGGCTAATTTGCCGAAATCTTGGTCTTGGCGCCCACAAACGTTCCAAAGTTGAAAACCCCTCGAAGATGTCAGTCCCAGCATGGCCTTCAGAGACCTCTTTCCCCTCTCGCTCCACATCTCAGCCGCCTATCCTTCCTCAAGGTGCATAATCTCATTAGAGCAGCAATCCCCCATGAACCAAGACCCCAACTTTGTATATAATGACTTAAATTCCTCCTTGCGGATATACGTAGCGTCGTAAATTTGTAGTGAGTGATAGCCGGTGATGAATGAAGCAAAATCCTGTTTGCAATTGGAATAACTTATTTCTTGGTCGTTGAGGCGAGATGATGTGTGGTTCGAAATAGGTTGAGGACTCAGATGATAATGGTGAGTACTGCATGATTCAAAAGTCGTCATGTGGAGATGTGCTTGAAGTTACTTTCAACTTCGATTCAGATGCGATTCTTCTTGGCTATCCCAAATACGCAGAGCATGCTGAGCGATTACACCGGCACCACTGGAGGGTGAAGAATTCGTCTTTGCCGGCTCAAAAAACTATTCCCTTAACATTATCATGTTTGATACTATTCTTCTCGTTCAGGTCCCCACGCATCCAAGAAGGCATGTACAGCAATAACTCAATCAGAGGAGGAAATTAATTCGATAAAATCGCCTGATCCTAACTGACTTCTATTGATTTTCCAGGGTTTCCTTCAGGACGCACGCCAACACTATTCATCCAGTGCGAGTTACGTTTCGTCTCTTCTCTTATCGATAAATTCTCTCATGAATTGCCGCCCGCCTTTCTCTATAAGCCAAGTTTGTTCATACCAGCTGTTGTGAATATCGTGAGCATTACTTGTAGATGTCTATGCACGAAAGATACGAGTGTTAAGATTGGTGCTACTTGGCAACGAAGAGTCGCATTAACATGGAATGTAAGAAGGTTCTAGTCTTGCTAGCCACATTCATGGCAACTAAAACATTGACCAGCCTTCTAATTATCTAGCATAAACAAGTGTATCATGTCCTTCACTTAGATGTAGTAATTAGTTTGAATTGCGCTCTGATACTAAGTGGGTTTAATCAACAACTCCCCACAATAGTTTTCAGACCCTTCAGACCCTTCAATCTCTCAACTCGCTTCACTAGCTGATATTAAATCTGAGTCTAACAGCTTAAGCTTCTCAACACAACTTCCATTACAACAACAAAGTCAAAGGCAGATACCATGGCAGGAGCGGCAAATCACCACGCATGACGTATTTGAGGCAGAGTCATATATTGTTCGGATTAGGTCCTGGTCAACGATGTCTAGCCTAATTGTGCTATGTTGCAGGCTACTGTTACAATTATTCATGGGGTCATCATCAGGGTTGTGAGTAGTTTCGGTTTTGGTGTGGGTTGTTAGATTGATACCTAAGCGTGTCGCATAGTAGTCAGACATGCGACTCGAGTAGCATATGCACGGTAAACCTCAACCCCAAAATGATAATACGAATCAGGTTTTACATACTACGTCCTGTATGGCTAGCGTGGTTGGAATATGTTGAATTTACCTGTAGATAGATAAAGACCTTGTAGCCCTCTGATAGTTGGGACAAGTCTTCTACTATATTATATCGGAATCAATCATAGCCTCTCATTAAGCAATATCATGAATTATTTCCAATGTTTTTGATAATAGACGTACATATACAATATCGACAACAAATTCAATGTCGATAATATATGCATGAGTGAAGCTGTTATGATCCTAGCTTGCGCAAGGAAGCAAAGGCTTCATAGGGAAGACTCAGTGATTAAACAACATGACTTTAATTATGCGAGCTCAAATTAATGCATGATTCAAATGTGAGTCGTGCTCATTATCAGGAGCTTAAGGACCAAACAATGTCGATACGCATTACATGAGTACATCAGACAATCAATGGGCGTGCCCGTAGACCAAATCAGACATGTATATGACCAGGTCTATTTACTTCTTCTGTAGACTATACGTTCATCTTTAGTTATCCATTTTATCCTCTGATAGTCTAAACACATCGGCCACCAGAATATTCATTCCACATTCTTCTTTATATATATACTGTCCTACCACGATACTTATCCATCTAACCTCGTAATCTTAATAGAAGCATTCGAGTGAGGAAGTCGCAGCGAAGGAGTATCATATGTACCAAGTATTGTGTCATATTTGTTGTTGTTGTTGGATATATCGCGCAATGAAATGGGCGGAATATTTGTGGGACGATAGTAGAAGCTGACTAAAAGATTGTCATGTTCGGATTACAGCTAAAAGTGTGGAAAGTGTGCGCTACAAGTACAAGCGTAAGCAACACGTAGTCTAAGCCACAGCATAAACGAGTGTGGCGCCATCTAGGCATAGAAAACCCCCAATAACCTCCTTGTGGCCACGCCGTACAGCCACTCACATATCCAATAATTAGCCTGAACCG